ACACCCCACGCACACTCACTGTGAAAGCTGACATGCTGTCTTTCACACAGGCTAGCAAACTATCTCTATCTCTTGAATGCACCCCCACAGCATTTACTGCTCCCCAGCTGTGTCTGCCTTGTTTCCTGGTTCCATTATCTTCAGCCTGACTACTGATGTGTGACTGACAGCCGCCATCTGTCTCATTGATTTCTCTCTCATTACCTCCCTCCCTTTCTCCCCCTCTGAAACTAATTTTTTTGCGCCATCCCTCCTCCTCCGTCTTCCTCATCATCATCAGTTTCTTTCACTGTGGGTGACAGTGTAGCGTTTTACGGATGACCAGTCATACAAAAGTACAAAACAATCCAAAAAAACAACACTGCAGTGGTGTCTTTTAACGTCTAGCGCAGCTTAAAACTGCTCACAGTAGCGCACAGAACACAACACAGTCACGTTTTTTTACCGACATTCACAATCTGTTCTAATCATTTTTTTCCTAACATAAAACACACACACATTTTTATGTTACACATTTATGTGTGTGCTGCTCTTAACCTTTTTGAAAAAAATAGTCATAAATACTTGTATATTTTGGTACATCATTATTCGTAGCTGCAGTGAGGGCTACATACTGTAAGGCTGCATTCAAATAATGAATGGTACTGCTGATGTTCAAATGGGTAGAAATATCTGGTTTTTCATTGCGGCCCAGTTCATATTGTATTTAAACAATAAAACTATTGTTTTATTACACATTACTTTATTTTAACAATAATTATAAATATGCCTCTTCTTCAACAGCCCTTTATTCCGCCTCTTGTCCTCCTCCAGGTGCCGATGGCCGTGGCAGAGATCAGCTCAGCTCAGCATCCTGTGAAGGCTGGCCTCTCTGATGCTTTTATGGCAGTTCAAAGTTCCCCCCACACACCAGGTAAACCACCAGGGGGTGCTCTTTCTCACTTGTACTGGTTGGACAGAGGTTGAAAAGGCTCCTGATAAGGGTGTGAAGAGACAGAGCACCTGTCTAAATCAAACACTGGCTAGATACCGTCTGCAAAACATTCATACTGCTGTTGCAACGTAAATTAAATGTTCTGTATTTAGTTAAGGTGGGATTCTCCTTACGTATTTTTAATAATTACAAATACTTGTCTGTCATCTTTTAAAGTACACATGGATGCCATTTAACAATGTCTCCAGGTCTTGCATTGAGCCTGTGTTCCAGTGTATTATTTGAGCACATCTAGAGTGATACAATGTGTTCCCCCCAGAGGCACGCCGCAGGACCATTTATGAATATCACCGTGTGGAAGTGGACCCATCAAAAATCACCAACAGCTCTGCCTTTGTGTTCACCCCCCTGCCCAGTAAGTACACATCAGCTCTCAGTCATCTCTGGAAATCACCACTCAGATCAGCAGTGTCTCGACTCTTCAGCCAGTCAGACCTGTCACAGCAAGTTACAGGCCAATCACAACTTGCAGGAGTAGATATTTTGTCCTCAAGATGGAGTACTGTCCGTCAGTTCAAACCACGATTCCATCACATCTCCTCCTAAATACTGTTGTTTCCTTATTGGATAGGAAAAATAGTAATACGTAGGCATTGCAATTAGATTCATGTGTTAATGTAATGAGGTAATGTATCCATTCGTTTGACATGTCTGTTATGTGCTTCTGTCCCCAGCTTGCCTCCAGCATGAGACCTGTGAGTCTTGCCTCTCGTCCAACTTCACCTCTGGCTGCAGCTGGTGCAACATCATCCAGAGGTGAGAGCACAGAAGGGCAGTCATTGACAGGCCAGATGAACTGTGTGATTATGGGCATTCCTGCCATTGATGGCTTTTTTTAAAGGCTGTCTTGTGTGTTTTTGCATGTTTCGTTCTATAGCATTTGCTAATGTAAATAACTGTAAATGTGTGTGTGGGAGAGCTGGAGAAAGTACTTGCTTGAGTGTCAGCTGGATATGTATAAATTGCTTGTTACTGTAAGAGCATGTTCGTTTGTTTATATGCTTGTGACCTTATCTGGGCACATGTGTGTGTACGCACAATGTGGGTGAATTATTATTATTTGGCACTTTATTATCAACCTGCTCAGATCTGGGAGCTGAGCTCAGCACTGGGACTGTGTCAGTAAATGGCAGGAGAGAGATTAAGAGGGGGATTTAGGAAATGAGAAACAGCTTGAGGTGAGTAATAGCTGCAGATTTCAAAGCTGAAGTTTTCAGGCCCTGGTCTTTGCAGTTACCCTTCCTTCTCAGAACCGAGGTGTTGCTGTTTATAAGTAAATAACCTTGGGCATAGTGCCACATTCTGTGGACAATAGGTAATCAGCAACACAAGGTTCTTGCCTGGCATTTGAGGAAGAAATCCCAGGTTTCCTCCTTATCTCCGCAGAACATAGAGCAATTTTCTGAGAGGAACAAAGGGCTCTTTGAGTCTTTTGATCTGTTTTTTTTACTGACTTTCTCCCAGAAAAAAAAAGATAGCCAGAAATACGTAATGAATTCTAAGCAGAATGTCGTGAGAACATCAAATTGATATCTGTTAGAATTTCTTTAAATCATCAACTAAAATGAGGTAAGTTGTGAAGCAGAAAACCCTGAAAGTCTACTCACTCATCTCAAGCACTGTAGTACACTCTTCCCAGCTGGACAGTGTTGTTGTCACATGTGGGCCTAGCCAAAATAAATAAGGAATTCTGTTTGCAGCCTGTCCTGGTGATGTCACCCATTTTACACTTGTGCAAGGAGTTTCTTTTCAAGGTTTTGACTAACAGTTCGATTGCGTGGAAACTGTAAATTAATCATTTTCCTTTCAGACAGCCCCCTGTTTCTCTAGCGATATCAGAAAAAAAAGGAAACATTTTTATTTTTCTAAATTTTTATTTATTTTTCTAAATAATGCACAGAGCTTCACAATGAATTTAATGAGCAAAATGTTTTATTATCTACATTCACCTGTCATTCCCTTTCACACTTGTTGTGCATTGTGTTGTGTACGTTCTGTAGCATTTTGCTTTGCTCTTTTAGCTGATAATGCCAAATACTTAGGTCAAGCATCCTATTCAGGATCCTATTATATCGTAAACCATCCCATTAGGATGTCCCAAAGGTCAATGTGGCACCATAATGCTTTATCAGAGCCCAATAATATATTAACCTTGTTTAGGAATAGTGAAATGTTGCTTTCTTTAAAGCTTTTTGTCAGTCTCGCGAATAGAAATCTAGACAGAAGCAAAACAGGAACAGTGCGTATTACAAAAGGAATTTAATGTTTTGCAAGACAGAAAATTAAGCAGATGAAGAATGGAGATCCTGTCTCTTTCTGTACAGTGAACAGGCCGATAGGCGTGCTTAGAGCTAGTCCCTTGACCATAGGGAAAAGTATTATTCTGTTACCCCGTGGGAAGTTCAGACTGAAGGGTTATTAAAAGCAGGGTGCAAGAGTAAGGGCTGCTGCCAGTCACTGTACTGACGTCTGTAAAGAGACAGTTGAGCTTGTTTTTTTGGCACGAGTAACAAGTGATTGCATGAATTGGAAGGCTGTCACGACAATCTAGATACCGCTAGCCCATTAGTGCAAGAGGCCGTAGGAGGAGCTGGGAGAGGGAATGGGAAATGGGATTCAGCAGAGCCTGCTCGCCCGACCTGTTTATTCATGGAAAACTGTGCAAATAGAGCAATCTGGATATTAATGTTTGACTTCACAGCAGAGTGTCCATCTTTTCGTTCTTATTAGGATTTTTTTTTAGTACGGAAAACCTATGCTTCTTGTCACGAGCAGTTCGTGCAGGATACGTTGTGTACACATTCTGGGACCTGCCTTTGTATATCGGCAACATCTATTTGTTTTGTAATCCCAAGAAGTATGTGTAAACTTTAATTATAGTGATTGTCGTATTGTTTGTTTCATATATGGCTGAGGTTGATCTTTTTCTCTTTTTGTCTTTTCCGACATCTGTTTGAATTTTTTTAGTTTTTTTGTAATGTGCTAAAAATAGTTCACTAACGCAGTACATTTTTACTATGTAGTGTAAGTTAATTTTTTTGTTCACTTTATCATTGTGCTGATTGTTGGTATAATTTCCAGTCTGTACTCAGCTTTTCTGTGTCTTAATAGTTAAATTAGCTCTAGTTTAATTCATATCTTGTATGCTACACACAAAAACTACACAGTGCCCTGGAGTTTCTGCTGTGTCTCTGCTTTGTCTTACAGTTCAAGAAAAAGTTTCTGTAAAACAAAAAAACGTTTTATGAATTGGTGTGGGTAGTGGGATTTTTTCAGTGGCTGTGTGAGTTTCAGGGATGGAGATTGGGTTGCAACTCAACAATAACATTTAGGTTTGCATTTCAGAATGTTCATATCTACTGTGTACACCTGCAGAACACCTGCAAATATCCCAATAGAATCCTCCAGGAATGCCAGGATCCTACGGGATTCATTTCTCAAGAAACATAAAGGATTCCTAAAAAATGTTCCAAATACTTACAGGAACCACTAATGATTTGGGCTTCAAACGTTTGCAGGATTTCTGTGTATTTTCTGCTGTAGTTTTTGCAGGAAATCGTTGAATTTGCAACATACAGATTCAGATGTCAGAAATTGACTCACTGACTTTGCTTAAATGACTATGTTTCCTTGAAAACACCTTGTCCATCTGTGTCTTTCAGGTGCTCAGATGGGATTGACAGGCACAGGCAGGAGTGGCTGGATTATGGTTGTGCAGAGGAGGTAGGGAACCATCATGAGATCCCTTTGGCTTCTCTTAGGATTCCCTCTAGAATATTAGCACTGGGGAAATCGCAGAATGGTCACTGTTATTCATTATATTTGTCATTTATTGAGGAGTGTACCTGCCTTACCGTCTTACGTGTCATCTGATCTTTAGTGGGAGGTCAAAAATGCTGTCTGTCTTTATTCTGAAAGCACTTCTGAGTCCCAGATGTAAACTCCTCTGCGGCAGATGGCTGAAACGACACCTGGTGCTACATTGTCGTGTTGTTTCTCCCCTCTAGCCCAAGGACATGACGTGTGAGGATTACGCCCCACAGGGGACAGACGTCTCCCTGGGGCAGGTTAACCCCTCTGTGTCCGAGCCCACCCCCTCCCCCGGGACGCTTCTGGACAGTCCCGTCACCGAAGGTAAGTAAGCTTGTGTCTCGTGTGGCACCGGCGGCCTAATGCGTCCGCGTGCCATGCTGGGACAGCCCGTTCCTCGGAGAGGTGGGTCACTGGCTCGTAAAGAAGAAAGCAGTATTTGATGTCATCAGCCGGGGGCACGGTGGCACACATGGCAGTTAACACTGCTGCCTGGCACCTTGGCCAGGTTTGACTCCAGTTTGGGGCAGATTGGTGTGTGAGGAAGTGGTGTATTCACCCCAGTGTTCAGATGGGCTTGTGCTGCGTGCTCCAGTTTTAATCCGGTTTGCATTGTCACTTGTCCCTTTCCGGCAGGGGTTCGAAGGGAATTTCACACTTAGAAGCACCAGCTCAGCCTTACAAGTGTGGCCTGACTGACTGGAAGTGTGTCTGTACGGATGCTTGTATCATCTACCCACGTAGTGGACTGGTGCACATTAGAATGGCTGTCCTCTCAGCGTTCTGGGTGACTTTAGATTACCTTACGGTCCTGGCAAGTGGGACAAGTTTAAGTATGCAGAGGGATTCATTAGCATGGTAAATAAATAGGAAAATTGTGCTATTCAGCAGCCTGGCTTTCTACACTACTGAACATGGAAAGAAACCAGCAACAAAAATATTCACTTAGACCTAAATGATAAAAGTGTTAAAAAAATAATCATTATCAATGTTTGTTACCATCTAAACTCTTAACGAGGCTAGGTGTCATGTCCTTCAGTGTTGTGAAGTGGTCTTTGATGTTCAGCACTGTGATTCTGCTTTCATTCCCTGTTCTTTTGGATCTGTCAGTGTTCCTCTCTTGCTCTAATCTGGAAGAATGGAAGCAGTACAGATAACTTTTTTAAATTCCTGCGATAGCTATTTTCTGGCAGGCCTGCAGAGTATATTTTTATACAGAGCTGTGTGCTTCATTTCATCTGTCTGTTCTGATTGAAATCCTGTTTCTTCACAGATGACACCAAACAGCTCATTCATTACAATGGCAATGGTGAGTTTCCTGAGGCTGATGTTACTATTACGAATATTTTGTTAAAATATTTCAAATAACTATTTCCAGAGGGGCCAAAGTCTGACTCCATGCAGTTCTTCAAACTATTCTATGTAATAGCTCTTGAAATAATGAACTGATATGAACAGATCTAAAAGGTAATCACCCGACTTAAAGTCTGTGAAGAAAGTATCAGTGTAAAATCATTGTCTTCATTGATGGACTAAACTTCACACAACCTTTGCAAATTGCAGAAAATGCTACAATTGTGTTAAAAATAAACTTAATCATGGTTCATATGAAATATCAGTAAATAAGACTGTGATAAAAAGGAAAAAAAGTTCAACATAACAGATTACTCATTATTCTTTTTCTTTTTTGCATATCATATTCTGTGCAGGGGCTGTGCAGAGTTTTTTTCATATTTTTGCATACATTGCATGAGATAAAAATCCACATCAAGATGAGACAATATTCATAGAAGAGCTCAAATGAAAACTGAGCTTATACTCGCCATATAACATATGTCCCAGTTCTCTATCACGGTTATCTATCACAGTAATGATAAATTAATGGAGAGTTTACAACCAGTTCCTCCTCTGGCTGTTGTTTCTTCCAGAAAGCCCCAGGCACCAGTTATAGCGAAGATTAAACATGCCGCTAATTATCCAGTAGCCAGCATGGGAACAAATTGTGTAGGTGAATGATGAAACAGGCCTGTGTGTCTCTGTCACCGTGACCGCTCTCTCAAGGAGGGGGACCCACGACAGGGTTTGAATATGAATCAAAATAATCATAGTAATGATACTTCTCTGTGTGTTTTACATTCACATCAGCGGTACAGGCTTCTTAACGAAGCCAGCATTGAAGAAATTAAGTTGAAACACATTTAATGACTCAAGAATCTCTTACTATTCACAAAGCTTGCAGAGCACTTCAAAGGACTTATTTTATCCCTCTGTCTCGCTCTTTCCTTCTTCTCATCCTCCATCTTCTCTCTTTTCTCTGGACCCGGTGTGTGTTCCCTCAGACCTGCAGACAGGTCCTCCTAGGCAGCAGGGGGCGCCAGTGCACACTGGGATCATTGCAGGTGTGGTGTCGGCGGTGGTGCTGCTTCTGGCCCTGACCCTGCTGGCTCTCTACATCAACACACATCCCACGGCTGCCCCTGCTTTCTATCTCATACAGGTTAGTCTGTCTGTCCTCCAGATGGTCCTTACTATGGTCTCCTCTGCCTGTCAGACAGTTTCTAGGTCTTCCTGGGTGTTTATGTCTCCTGTGCTCATATTTCTCTCCTTCACTCTTTCTGGTTGCTTGTACAGTTAAATGCCAATCTTTCACACTAATGGGTTTCTGTCTTCTTTTGTCTATTATATACTGTACTTGGTTGTTTATATTTTGCCCTTTTCTGTTTACCACAGCATCGCTCTGTCTAGCTGTCTTGTGTGTTTTGCTCTCTCTGCCTTGTCAGTCAGTCTGTCTGTCCCTGTATGTGCCTGTCAGTTTCAGTGATCTTCAGGGCGAGACTGAACAGCAGATTGAGGTGCAGGTCTGGTCCTGACTCCTGTCATTGTCTGAGTTCCACCTCAGCAGTCAAATCAAGGAGCTCGGCGTCAGCGCCTTGAATTCTAGACACAGCTGTCATTTCTAATTGTAATGAAGAAATTATCGCCTTCCTGTGCAAAAGCTGACAGCCCATAGATTAGACGTGACTGACTCCCTTTTCTGTTTTCTTCCCCTTGCCAATAAACAAATGTCTGTCTTCCTCAAATGTATGACACAAATGTAAGAATTGGTCATTTATTTCAGTAACAGGGAATACATTACAATTGCGACATTGCATGTTCCCCTGAAGAGGTGTGGAGCTCTCAGCCGAAGTACCTGTCCCAGCGGGGAGAGAGGGAGGAAAGTGACAGCACTCAGAAGGGTTACTCCGTTCATTCCAAAACCTCATCTGTGACTAATAGGCCAAAATCCCTCCCTCATTCTGTTTGAAGCACCAGAGTGTGTTTGTGCTCTTAGCTCAGTCCAAGGGAGCACTGGTTAATCAACAGGAACAGTACCTGGGTTAGAAAATTAGAAACAAATTGGATATTTTTAAATCAAACAAAGTATCGGGAACATAGCGCGATTTGGTATTGGTGCTTTTAAACAAAACAATTGACATCTTGTTCATTTGAGTGTGTATTTTGTTCTGATTTCACAGAGACGCTCCAACCATTGGCCAGCCATGAAGTTTCGGAACCAGGGCTGTCACTCGAGCTACACCGAGGTGGAGGTCGGAGGTCATGAGAAAGAGGGCTTCATAGAGGCCGAGCAGTGCTGAGGAGGAGGAGGAGGGGTGTGTGTGGCATGAGGAGTGCTCTACAAGTAACGGACAACAAAGTGGACCAATGCAGGGAAGATCCGGGACTGAAGTGTGGGCCTGTTCCAATCCTAGTTAGCATCCTGCTCTCTGTCAGCAGTGGGCCTGACTCAGGGCTCCCCTGTTTCTCTCTGCACTGGTCCGCTCAGGCACTCCCAGCTCTCGTCTGGGGGCTGCTGTAAGTAAAACACCAATGACCACAAGCAAGAAAATGCATTACAATCGGGCACATGGGCAAACATTGAACAGACACTATAAATCAGCCCTCTGTTCCCCTCTAGAGACTCACACCATGGGCAGCAGTGAGGAGCAGTGGTTATGGCTCTGGACATATAACTGGAACGGTGTGAGTTTGAATCCCAGGTGGAGTTACAGCTGCTGAATCCTTGATCAAGGTACATGGATTGCTTTGGTAAGCTGAGCTGTACGAACTTGGATTACTTCAGATGAAAGTGTCAGCCAAATTATTTAGTGATAAAAAAGGGAATGCACGTTATTCATCATAACTGCAATTGATGTACAGTTTGTCTTCATAAAACTGAGTTTTTTTTTAGGTGAAATCTGCATTTTGAAGTGTCTTGTTGATCACTGTCTTAACCTGCAATCTCACATCTTATTATGACATTACTCTTATCACTGACATCCTTTGAAATCTTTTATGGAAACTTTGCTCAAAACAGTACTGGTTCTGTTGAAAGTAATAAATAGTACGTCGAGTTTTTATAAGACCTTAATAAGTTGAAAACCCTGGTTATCGTACCAGCATTAAAAAAAAATATTGTAGATATTCAGAGTGCTTGCCAAATCCTGTCAAAGTGTATGATAAATCATGACATTTATAACTTGAAGCTCTACAGTTATGAACTCTAGAAAATGATAAACCAGATTTTCTCTTCCAACATATTCTGAAAAGTTCCATATTGTGTTTTTAAGGATTTCTAGGATGGTGAAGGTTGCTTATGGTATCAGTATTATCCTAAAGAAGACAGATCTCAAAGCATTCATTATCATGCTATGAGTTTTTGCTTCATTAGAATGTGCTAAACTCGCTCCAGGTTGAAATCATCAGTGTGGTTTAATTTTCAGGCAGGTCATAGGGGAATACTATTAAAGGCATATACAGTCTATATATTATGTATATATTAATGGGGGAGTTCTGCAAAGTGTATTATGCACGTGATCACAAATGCAGTGACAACCTAGAGACTTTTGAGATGAGAGCTGTTGATTTTAGCTTGGTTGAACAGCATTGCCTTCTGCTCCCCTGGGGAATACTGAGGGAGAACCATCAGGGTCTGAGCTACATGTTTATCTGACATACCGAGCAACAAGCGCCACATCATTCTCATCTCGTACTGTGACAAAGCAGCCCGCCCTCATTCTTCTTATTCCTGGAGATTGATCAGAGGGAAGATGTTACATGGTTGCTCCTAAAAAGCCTCTGTTTGTAGAGCAGAATGAGCCTCAGACACTGGTGATGGCTGGTCCAGGTCCCAGTTACACTGCTTGTATCCAGGCACTCCCTGTAGCCTGGCAGTGCTGTCCTGGGCACTGCCAAGATATTCATTTTCAATAATGCGCAATAGACTCCAACTCTGCTGCTCGGCGTCAATGTGGTTGCCCTTGCCAGGGGCAAGCTGTGCTGGCACAGGAGAGTCGGGAGTGAGGCTGGTTCTTTGCTCACCGCTTAGTGTCATCTGTCTCCATTTTGGTACACCAGGGCTGTCCAACCCTGCGTATCTGAAAGGTCCTCAGAGCAGCTCCCGAAGAGCTGAGCAAAAGCTGTCAAATTGATCTGCTTGACCAGTTAGTTTAGTTCATTAAGGGCTGAGCTGGCATGAAACTCTGTGGGCACACCGGCTCCCCAGGACCGGGCTTGGACACTCCTGTGACCAGCGCTGAAAATCGCTCAACAGTGAAAAAAGCTTAAAAGACTCGTGAGAGACTTGTGTTTCTCCTGGGTGTCTGTCGGTTCAGTCAGGAGGCACAGCGGAGCCGCGGCACGAAGGTTAAATTAGGCTTGGCAATTTTATTAATATATGGGTTGACAAAACATGCTGAATCCTAAAAAATATTGAAGAGCTGGGGTTATAGGTACTCATAACTACTGTAACTAATTTGCTCAATATAATTAATTTGGATCTGGATTAGAACAGACCACAAGGAATGTGCCGCAATTCAGCAAAGAGCTTATGGTACTTCCTGGTTATCACAGTGCAAGATCACAGGACTACTGCACCTCTTTACTCCCTCTTACAGGGATGTACACCTGAGGGTCTTATTGGGGGAGCCTGGTACCATTGTTTAGTTTCACAGTGGGATGTGAACATTCAAACCACACACACACACAAAAATATATTGTGAATATATCACATCTTTAAGGCAATATGAAATAAAGAGAAAAAATGTGAGAAAAATATATAGCCAAATTCTTTGATGTATTTTATTTTTAAGCAGAGAGCTCATTGCTGGGAAGAATAGGTCGCAGTTTCCCCTGGAAGAGGCCCTTTCTGTGGGCACTCCAAGCTGGGACTATCTGAGCTCTGTAATTAAAAGTGCAAGGATACAAAGTGACATTCATCCGCTATAACAGTATTGTATAAAAGAGTAAATATGTTAAGAAAATAAATCAATAAATGATTTCCTGATTTAAAAAAAAAAGATTGAGTACATCTTTGTGATGTCTGTTGTGCTCTGGTGATTGTTCGTATCCTTCTGCATATCGGGTGCTAATCCATCACTTAATTTTGGGATTTTTGGAGCTGGCAAGCACATGACTGCAGTGTACATGCCAGCCCATGTGGCTGTCTCTCTCATCCGTACGGTAACATGCAGGAACCACACGGCCACATGGAAACATGAGATGCTGGCATGTTCAGAGAACTCCCTTCCCCAAGGGCGTGTGACCACCGGGCCGGTCTTGATTTGGGTGGCAGAAAACTGGTTTTCAATCCAGCTGAGCTGTAAATCACAAGGGCAGGCTGATGCCTTTAACTGATCTGCTCGCCGAGTCTTTTGGTTCGGGCAGGGAGCTGTGTCAGCATGCAGCTTTGCAGCAGTTTGCAAAGGAGCAGGTGAAGATTTTTTCCATGCTGAAAGGAAAAGAAAAGAGACACAAGAGACTTGCGGTCTACTTGTTACTGCACTCAGGCCACATTTAAAAAAAATATTTGTCCTCAAGAATACTGTTTCTGCCAACTTTGGCATATATAACGTCCTGAACTTGCTGAGCGTTCTTTGTGACTAAAAACTTCATGGGTGAATCTATAATAAACACAGTTGAGAATGACAATACAACACAGAAACATATGCCCCAAACATAATATTGAAATGAATTAGCCTGTGATTAAGAACTTGGCTGGAGCAAAAACATGGAGAGACAGTGGTCCCCTCCAGGATCAGGACTGGGAACCATTGAGCTAGAGTATCTCCACTGCTCATTCAATAGGCACCTAGTGTCAAATTGGGCTTTTATGTTGAACTGAAAAACAGGGTGTCAGCTTTCTGGGGTTTGAACTGGTTCAGTGAGTGCTGTTTAGGTTTTTACTGTGTAGCTTCATCCAGTTGGCAAATACTAGTTTCCTACGGCATGACTTTGGAGAGGATCAAACGATATAAGATATTAAAAATGCAGATCTAGTCCAGTGGGAAAGAAATGATCTTGTCTTATTTTTTCTTGAATTCCACTGTTATGCTGTAGATTTCACTCTCCATGGCTGTAACGTTAAGTGGGATTTTAATCACTACTTAAATAGCCCTAGTCTACATTTCATGGGAGCCTTAAATATCTGTGGATGTTTTTTAAAGGGGTGGAAATCACTGATTTTTAAAAAAAGCTTAGCATTACAAATACTATTTTCTACAACAGTGATTACGACTAGAATTATAATGACTGTCTTTAGAAATGGCCGCAGAGGCATGAAACTAAAAAAGCACACTAAATTCCTGTCCTACTATAAACCCTGGGTCTTTCATCCTCCCGCTATAACAAGGCCCACGTGTTTCCGAGCGAAACAGTCCATCAGAGCGGACGGGTGTGGCTGAGCCAAGAGAGGCACGCCCAGTCGACAGCACGACAACCTGGGGGTGCTGCAGACCCCCCGGCCCAGTCGACAGCACGACAACCTGGGGGTGCTGCAGACCCCCCGGCCCAGTCGACAGCACGACAACCTGGGGGTGCTGCAGACCCCCCGGCCCGGACACAGGGCAGCTCCTACACGATCTGGGGGTGCTGCAGACCCCCCGGCCCGGACACAGGGCAGCTCCTACACGATCTGGGGGTGCTGCAGACCCCCCAGTCTGGACACAGGGCAGCTCCTACACGATCTGGGGGTGCTGCAGACCCCCCAGTCTGGACACAGGGCAGCTCCTACACGATCTGGGGGTACTGCAGACCCCCCAGTCTGGACACAGGGCAGCTCCTACACGATCTGGGGGTGCTG